GGTGATACTTCCCCTCTATCGGGCGCTGGTCAGACCGCAGTTGGAGTACTGCGTGCAATTCTGGGCGCCGCAATTCAAGAGGGATGCGGATAACCTGGAGAGGGTCCAGAGAAGGGCCACTCATATGGTTAAGGGCTTGCAGGCCAAGCCCTATGAGGAGAGACTGGGGCACCTGGACCTCTTCAGCCTCTGCAAGAGAAGGTTGAGAGGCGACCTTGTGGCTGCCTAAAAGTTCATCACGGGGGCACAGAAGGGAATTGGTGAGTATTTATTCACCAATGCGCCCCCGGGGGCTACAAGAAATAATGGCCACAAGCTAGCAGAGAGCAGATTTAGATTGGACATTAGGAAGAACTTCTTCACAGTTAGAGTGGCCAAGGTCTGGAACGGGCCAGAACTCTTTCCTGCCTATGCAGGGGGTTGAACTCGATGATCTATTGAGGTCCCTTCCAGCCCTAACATCTATGAATCTATGAACAATGAACTAGCAAAGTTGTAAAAGCACCAACATAGGCAAAAGAACCACAAAAAGAGCTACCAAGAACCATGAAGACATCATGGTTGCTCTCACAATAGTGAGCAGAAAATAGTATAATGTTTGCTATGGAATATTTAAGAAGGGAATACTGTTTTACAGACCACAGGAGAAATCATTTCACATGTCCCATTAACTCTGCACTTGTTTAGTGGGTCAAATCTTAATAACTTTGTTCAGATTTTACTTAGATTTAGTCCAACAGCATTACAGAAAATAGACAATGGTCTTAACCTCTTAGAAGAGATGGCAGAATTATTTTAAGTAAGATTCCATTTGGGTGTATTCCATTTCCCCTACTTGGAGACATGGTGGCAGAACAATTTAAGGCTTTGTGACTCCATAAGCATGAGTTCAAGCCCTCAGTCAACTGAACTATAAGTGGGAACCTGCTCATTTGGGAGTTAAAAGAAGGAAGACATGATGTTACCCATACCATTATTTTTGATGCTATTGGATACGAAATTGGCATACCTTAGCTATGGGTTACTAGGTCAGGATGACCTTTAATCTTGACCTATCTCCTTTTATCTAAATGGACTGCAGGATTAAGACCTTATTTCATGAAGTGACACTACGCTTATGACATAGTCCTGTTCAAACATACCCCAACCATTTTTTCCATTACTGTACAGTACAGTACATGTACTGTTCCATCATCTGTACAGAAACACAAACATGGCTGAAATGAGCCTAGTTTGAAATACTTCGGACTATGAGGTTCACTTTCCATGCTAAATCTCTTTTATGGCTCCTAGGCATACTGCATAGACAATAGATAATAGAGCTTCAGCTATTTCTACACAGTAAAATATACATACAAAGGAACCCTTACTAGCTTTATCAATATTCTCTGTCATAGGAAAATCTGCTAGGTGCCTGTTGCAAAACTCTGCCTCTGGGATTAATATGCATCTTTTCAAAGTTACATGCATTTGTTGGCCTGGACATAGGACACTTTGCACCACTGTAACCTGCTTTTACATTAGTATAAGCAAGGAGGAGCAGGGGTGACTCCAAGAGGTTGGTGTAGGGCTGCAGTTGTACCCCTGCTTTGATTCTTGCTCCACCCAAACTTCCTTGAGAGGGGCAGCACATTTCTAATCAGCTAGTGCTGAAAGAGTCAATCAACTTCTATCATCTCCCTAATTCCTGTTAAACTCTCTCCACTCCACGAGTATTAACGATCCTTTCTCCTTTTTAAATGATCTTGATGTTTCACTATCCAAATTATCCATTCTTCTGCAATTTTGCCATCTGTTAGCCATTTCTAGTAATCTCTCTTTTTATTTTACAGCCCTGCAGACTGTTTTTAGTTCTAGCTAAAAATCTTAAATCAGATTTGGTAATATTAGTTCAGGTTAATGTCTAACAGGGCGTGTCTATATGAGACATACATTGCAGTAGCAATGAGCTATGGTGATGTAGCATTGGTGGGCACAAACCGTGATGCCAATGCTATGTCGCTGTAGCGACAAGTGATCTCATTATACTGTGTTGCTATGGCAGCACATAGCTGCTAAAAATAACTGTGCGCTGCCAGGATAGTGCAGGAACGGCTGTTCCTAAACCCAGTACTAAATGATGGTGCAGTAACAACTTCGCTGTGGGGGACACATGTAGATGCACCCAATGTAAAGTATTGATGACACTGTCAAGACACTCAAGAAGTCTAGATTTTATTTAATGAATCTGAATAACAGAAATGCACTTACCTAGAAGGACTACAGGGCTGATGATACAATATTTTTTGTCTGGTTTGTTGTGGGGTTTTTTTTGCAAATTAGTGCACATTACAATAGTTATATTGTTTCGCTTCAATCTTAAATTCGTTAACAAAGTGCTAGCCCCTTACCATATTAGTAAAGCTTCTAGTTTCATTTTAATTGGAAAAAATCTGTGTTGTGTTATATATAATGATGCACCACACCATCTGCACCCCTCTTTTCCAATCAAGCTCCACCATAAAGAGGAGACATAGGATGTGTAGCTCTATAGGAGTGTGACTTATTTGATCACACCAGTATAAGTTATGATGGTGCTATGGGCCTTCCATCTTGGAGCAGACATTTGCTCAGTGCAAACAGGATGCTGCCAGTAATGAGTGGTGATGCTGTCACTGTTGTAACTACCCAGGAAGAGTTGGTTGTCTGCCTACACTGGAGACTGGTATAGTGTATTTTGTTTTTCAGAACTGATATATCTTTCACCACTTACGTTAAAGTGCTTTGAGCCTTTGTGGTTATTTCCATGTGAGTCTCAAACTGCACTGAAACTGTATAGTGGCCTTTTTTTAAATGTAAAGATTTACTTTCTGGCTGCGGGGTAGGACCCGGAGAGTTCTCATGAATGGATCTGTGTTGTCCTGGCGCAAAGTCCATGCTTGGACCAGTGTTTTTCAACATCTTTATCAATGATTTGGATGGGGGAGTGAAAAGCTCGCTGGTCAAGTTCATGGACGACACCAAGTTATGGGGCAGCCTGGTCATGTCAGAAGATAGGTTGCAAATATAGGCAGACCGGCTCGAGAGTTGGGCAGACCGGAACCAGATGAAGTGTAAGGTGCTCCATCTGGGGGCAAACAACCCTCAACATACATACAGGTTTGGTGGTGACAGCTTGACTCACGCCACAGCCAAAAGGGACCTAGGGGTAATGGTTGACCATCATGTAAATATGAGCCGTCAGTGTGAGGCGGTGGTCGGTAGGACAAATAACATGCTGGCATGCATCAACCAATGCATCTCATATAAAACTAAGGAAGTGATACTCCTGTTGTACTCAGCACTGGTGAGACTGCAGTTGGAGTACTGTATCCAGTTCTGGGTGCCACACTTCAATAAGGATGTGGAAAAGCTTGAGAGAGTCCAGAGAAGGGCAATCCATATGATCAGGGACTTGCAAGGCAAGCCATGTGAAGAAAGGCTGAGGGACCTAGGCCTCTTTAGCCTAAAGAAGAGAAGGTTGAGAGGGGACCTGATAGCAGCTTACCGCTATATCAGAGGAGTGCATTAGGAGCTCGGTGAACAACTGTTCACTAGGGCACCCCTGGGGATGATCAGGACCAATGGATACAAACTCCTGGAAGGCCACTTCAGGCTTACTACCAGGAAAAACTGCTTCACAGTAGGGTGTCCAGACTGGAATAAACTCCCTCCAGAGGTGGTGCAATCTGGAGGTTTTCAAGAGGAGACTGGACAGTTACCTCACTGGGGTCTCCCAACCCCCGTTGTCTTCCTGCCTAGAGGTGGGGTGGGGGTGGGTGCTGGACCCAATGTTCTGCAAGGTCCCTTCCAGCTCCTAACAATCTATGAATCTACGAATGACTATATGAATTTATGAAAATAGAGAACAACTGATACTACTTGAATCCATAGCATCTATGCAGAGTAAAGTCTGCTTACTAGGCTCTTATGGATACAAATAGCACAAACGTATATACGGGTATAAAATATAAAGCTGTCACTACTTTTAATTGTACTTGGATAGCAGGAACTAAAAGAGCTGCATGGTCCTGTAATGTATTAAAGCCAGTTCTTGCCAGAAGTGCTGTTATGAGCCCCTCACAGTCACCACAGAAGAGCTATATCCACAGGCTAAGTACAAACAGTCAAAAAACTTGAGGCTGAATCAATTCAGTCTTCACAGGTTAGTCTAAACTGTGTAGATTGAACTGATAAGCAAGTGAACAGACATTTACTTTTGATTCTGGAAATGCAGCCACATGCCTGCAGTGGCTCAGGCGAGAAGCCAGGGTGTGTTAGAGCACACCTCCTTCTTTGGCTGGAGGAGACACCTTGGGTCAAGGCTGGCCTGTCCACCCTGAAAGCAGCAGTTTGTGGGGGAGGTGCAAAGCATCCTGAGATGCTGGGGGACTGTGAATTAACTTGAATCTGGAGGGGATCTGGGAGAAAATTTCAATAAATCAATTTAACCTAAATCAGTGAAGTCCGATATTAAATCTATCCTGGTTTATCTTAAACCAGTTTTGGCCATTTTGAAAGTGGTTCATGTGAACTGAACTCCGTTTTGTTACAGATTTGAACTGGTTTCTAATCACTTATAGTGGTTTATGTGCAACTTCTGTCACTAGCCACAGTGATAGCCAATTATTATAACAGTAGTTAATAACAATCTTAAAACAAGAAAAAAAAAGAGTTGTGCTTCCAGTTCTAAGTGTTGTCTTAGTTTGGCTTGTTTTTTTAAGGACATGATGTTGAGGGGAAGGAGAACAGTTATAAAAACATTTTCCAAAATGGAGACTTCTTTATTATTTGCATTTCATAACTCCCTTGGGTTGCTAGATATTTACTGTGGCCAATTTTAGATCAAAACTGCTAAATGGAAGGTATGTTCCTGAGTATAGTCCATCAAAATATTTAGGATGAAGTCAGAGAGGAACAGAACAACAAGGTGGTATATAAAAAAGGTTTCATTACATATGTAAGAAGTCCTTAGTACTTACAGCTGTCCTCTTCTTCAGTAATACATTTCACAACATAACAGGCATAGATGAAACCTGCCAGCTGAAACAAAATATGATAGCATTAGATATAAAAGCTAATACAGTGGGATAACAGAGTTGGTTAACAAAACAAAACAAAAAATAGCTCAGTGAGCTTGAGAGTTGGCTGAGTACAGGTAGACGGCAGCACAGCAGCCTACTAGCATGCTGCTTTGACCACAAGGAGTAGCAACATTAGCAGGAGCAATTCAAAAGTCAATTTTATGTGAATGTTCTTTTATCTGCCACTGGGAAACGAATGATGGATTTCCATATCCAGGATGTCCTTTGAGCTCCACGAAAAGCTAGTCCCACCTCTGAAGGTAGGTTTGTGTGTGTTTGTATTAGTGGCTCATGCTTCAGCTGCATAAATGCATCTTGTTCTTTAGAGCTCCTTCCTAAGAACATGAATAAAATATTATCCTACATGGAAGCAATATCATTTGAAGAATGTTTATGTTTGTACCGAAAGACTAGGGTCATAGCAATTATTATAAAATACTATCCTACTGTGCATTACCCCAGACAGTAATATCAAAAATAGTAGGTATTCCACATACCCTCCGCCAAATATGACATAAATCCTTTGTTGGCCCTTTTGCTAAGTCCTGCTTGCTGTCACTAGAAAATTGGACTCCAAAATGAAAGCAAAAGTGACTGTAATTTTTTTTCAGCATGTGATGTTCCTTATAAGCTCGCCCTTGGACTATGGTGTCTTAAAGAGTTTTTCTTTATGCAGGGTAAATAGACCAATCCCCTCACAGCACGGCCCTATCAGATTCCAACAAATCTGCGAATTCTGCTAAATACCTTGTCACAAGGACATGAAAAAGGAAAGGACTAAGGTCTGTGAAGAGAAGGTAGAAAGTCATCTGAATCTGGATTCTTTAATTACTTTATGCTGAAAAGAAATTTGGTCATGTTTTAAACAGCATCAGCGCAGGGTGCTATTACTTTTGCATAGAACAGATAAAACATGCAAGATAGAACTTAGATCTTTTACGAGTGGCCCTCCCAATTGTGTAAAGGCTTGGAAATGAATATTTATTTGGCAAAGAGCTCCTTGTCAAGATATATTTTACTTAGCAAATAACTGCAAGGCTAGAAAAGTAAGGAAGGATTGGGGTAAGTCTGAAACACCATACAGTTATATAGTTTGGTTAGTGCAAAACTTGATGAGTCAGATACAAATAGATTTTTCTACATGTCTACAACTCGCCATGGATGCAGGATTATTAATATTTGCTTTGAGACCTTTACAGCTCCTAATGTAATATGTATCTGTGAGATACACTAGTATCTATACATCTTCCTAGTGTGTCTCTGAGGTGGTGACTGTACATTGTTAACTCTTTTGTAGGACATCACTGTCATTCCAGTCAGCTTTGGAATACTAGAATCCATCGCTGTAATACAGAGGCAGGGAAGGAAACAGTTTAAATCTTCTCAGGACAGAAGAAGGCTCTGTTTGGAGATCACTTGCTGCCAGTGCAGATGTTGTTAATTGGCTGCTTAAATTCCTACTGGCAGCACAGAAACATCTATGGAGCCTATGGTTCCTTGCTAAAACAGAGCCAAATAATTATTTCAGTCATTTACTTCAGCTCTGCCCTACAGCTCTGCTGGGGGGTTTTCACACCTGAGGCGAATGGAAATTCACTGTTGGGCACAAAGAACCTAGTGCACCAAGAACAGTGGTATTTGGTTAATATCCACATATCATCTCTGCTTTATTGGATAACTGTTTCCTTTGGCTTCTTGGCTTCTTGACAGAGGACTAATTTACTCCACTGACGTACACCCTAAGCGACCCTGTTGACTTACGTGACATTACACTGGGTATAATTCAGCAAAAAATTAGGCCCCAAAAGGTTATTCATAAATGATTCCTTTCTTGAACGTGAACATTGGCTTAATAGCTTCTCTGTTCTCTTTTTAACAGATCATCAGATCCAGCTTAGCTTATTAGTTGCATCTCTGGTAGACAATCATGTTAGTAATGACATTCTTACAATACAGTGCAGTATTTTACTTCTTGCTAAAAATGCCATAAGTTCATGTGTAATCAATTAAACTTCTCTTACAGAACACAGAAACATACTGTATCACAAATTGTGCTTACCACTGATCTTTTAATTGTATTCAGTTGCATCCCTTAAATATCTAGGGAATTCTTTTGATATATAAGTAAATCCTACAGCATTTCATCAGTTGAACTTGCTGATTAAAAGAGTGCTGTTAAGCTAGACATTGTTCTGCTCTAAATACAAATGGAACTTTGCTTCCCACAGTTTAATAAGGATTCATAAAATAATGCCCCTCCATGTCTAGCCAAACTTTTTCTTGATGTATGTCTACATCCTTTTTTAAATTTTAATATTATGATGTTTATTTTCTTTTCTTATCTGTTCAGATTCAGCACTACATATTCAAGTTTTGTTTTCAAATCTGCTTTCAACAATAAAGGGTACACAGAAGGTTGAACCATAAAGCATTTGTATAGGATGTATGTTGACATAAATACATATGTATATATTCATTAGTAAAACTTTTCAAATACCAGGCAGAGATGGATTGCACTAAGTAAATAGCTTTTAGTAACCATAATTGTTTTCAAATGGTTATTTGAAGTGTCTCTAAAAATGTAAAGAATCCCCAGAGCAATGTGTCTGAATTTGTTGAATAGTGAATAAACTGGCTACCATTAACATTATAAGCTACTTGTCCACTCTTTATATTGGAAGACTGCATATTGTTGAAACATTAAATCAAGTTCATAATGCTGAATGGCCTGAGCCCAAGATATGTGAAAGGCTGCCTAAAGCTCTAGGGTTAAAACTGTGGTTGATACCTCCATGTTTCTGGAATAAACAGTGACATACCTGTACTTAACACAAGTATATTCCTATGTATGCATATATACTAATGCATATGCACATGCATGCCAAATGGCACTTTTAGCAGACAAGGTTCTTTGAGTAAATCCACTGTCTTTTATTAGACCAACTCAAATACAGTAGCTGGACAAATTCTTTTGTGCATGCTTTTGGGTATAAAAACCCTTCACCAAACACCTGTCATACAAACACCCTTCAGCTACCTATGTCCTTAGACCAACACAGCTACAACCTGAGATGGCATATTGATGAATTCCAAAACAAAACACTGTACTATGCATACTTATCCCTGTGGAGTGATGAGAGAACAAACAAATAACAGATGTTAACCACACTGCTTAATGTACTACTGGAAAGTGCTCAGATAATATCATACCAGTATAAGACAGTACGGATCATATATACAGACAGTATAAGATCACATAAAGAAGATCTCCTTTTGGATTCATTGTCTGTTGAGAAAATAAGAAAGGGTGGACAATGTCCTGAAGAATGAGGAAGAGAAGGACCTCACTATGTTTTAGATCAGTGGTGACCAACCTGCATCAGGAAAGCCCGCAAGTGGCATAGGCAGCTTCTGTGTGTGACATGTGGCAGATTAGGGAGGGGGCAGTCAGCACAGTGGCAGATAGATAGTGCAGGGAGCAGTAAGCAAAACAGGAGGCTAAGTAGGGAAGAAGAAAGTAGAGCAGCAGATCAGGCACAGTAAGTGGATCAGAGTGGTACTCCTGGAGGTGAAGGGCTTAATTTCCAACATGCCTGCCAAAAAAAATTGTCCCCCATTGTTTTAAAAGAGTGAATTTTAAATCAGGAAGGTTACCATAGGGAGTTGGTTTGCTTTGAGTGCATTTTTATAACCACAGAGTTTAGAAGACATGGGCCCTGAACAAAAGTTTAGATTCCCAGTTCCTCTGAAGTGAGGTGTTTGTATCTGTCCTATCTTCATGGGAATGCTGTGGTTTAAACCTCTATAGGAGAAGGATTGAAAACCTCTATGGCTAGTAGGGACGGACATTCAAAAAGCCTGAGCCTGAATTGATTCAATCTTTGCAGGGTAGTCTAACTTGGCTAGGTTAAACTGGTTTGTAATTGTACAGACATTGCCTCTGGACTGAAGAAATGCAGGCACATGCCTGCAGTGGCTCAGGCTAGAAGCTGGGGGGTGCTAGAGCAGTCCTCCCTTCCCTTCTAGAGTGCTGAGCAAAAGGAGAGGGGGGCCAGGCCCTGGCAGGACACTCTGATTAGGGAGGGGTGTAAACCCCCACCCTGGCCTGCATCATCCCGGGCTTTTTCCCACTCACTGCTCAAGGGGAGGGAGTGTTGCTAGCCCCCAGAGCCTAGCTAGCACTCTGAGGCAAAGTGGGGTGTGGACTGCATGCATCTGTTGATAATACTGAGCTTTTCAATCTCCCTCTCCCTGCTTCTTCATACTGTCTGGGAATCTGATGGGTAAGGGAGCCAGCAGGGAGCTGATAACACAGCGTTTATCCGCCCATCAACAAAACAAAAGCTTCTCTCATTAGTTCAAGCTCTTCTTAACCAGCTTTTTTCAAGGAAGGAACGGAGGGACATTACCAGCTGACCTGCTGATTAGCTCAAAAAAACCCTAAGCAGACACTATTTTGTCTGCCTGTCCCAGTGAAATTGGAAATACACACACACGCACGCACACACGCACACACACAGACACCTCTCAGCATTAGCTAGCATACCACAGATCTAGGGTCCATGGGGCTGGGATCTGTGCTGTGGGAAATGGGAGGGTGGGAAGGGTGTGGTCCCTGCTTGAGCAGAAAGCAGTGAGGTGGGGGAGGGCAGGGGGAAGCCAGGCAGATCCCGCTGTCCCTACAGTCTTTGCTGGAGCTCTGGCTAGGGAGCAGATTAGTGGGGCCAGCCCTTTTTTCTGGAGCAGACAGCCCACCTCAGGGCTGCAAAGCATTTGGGATGCTGGGGGACTCTGATTTAACTTAAACCAGGAAGGGGTCTGGGACAGACATTACATAAACCGGTTTGACCCATATCAGTTACGTCTGATGCTACATTCAATCAAGTTTATCTTAAACCAGTTTCAGCCATTTTGAAACTGGTTTATGTGCACTGAATTTATGTTCTGTTACAGGTTTAA